CATTTTCTCAATAGATCATTATGGTTCATCTGGAGATAGAAATTTTTTTCATCAAATGTTACAATCTGTCTAGATGTAGCGTATGTTCTGAAACCCCATTCTCCTGCATTCCAGGCCTCCCTCCTTCCTCGCAACATAAACGTACTTTGAGTTTGTATATATCATCATATTTATTTTGAGTTACTTTCCTAATATTAATTAATATGTCCACATAGGAAATCCCCATGTACAAATAATCCGTGAGGTAAGGAGACACTGATCTCTGTGACACATCGATAAGGAACGATATGTGTGATATCTATGTGGCAATCAAACTTCATAACGTAAGTAGTATACAAAGACAAGTTCATTGGTAAATGACAGTCAGTATGTCTAGCTACCTGTTTCATCATTCTATAGTTTTGTCTTGAGAGGGGTTTTTTTTTGATATCAGGGCATCAAGGAGTGCTTGCCCAAAAGGTAAGATTGATCCACTGTTAGTATGTTTTATGATCACAAGTTGGAGGCTTAAAATGTAACTTTCGCAATGTGATAGTGGGGCTTTGGAACTCTACAAAAAAAATATATTAATACACTCTATGTGTTGCACTGCCACAAACCTTATTGCTTGCCAAGTTAATGGAAATTATGCAATAGTTTTAAATTATTTACCACCGAACGTTACTGGGTATATTGTAGTGGTCCCTCTTCCAATTGTCGCCAAATAATTTTATTATCCAACAAATAGTTTTAAAAACACAAAAAGTGCAATTTACGACGTTTGTTAGCAATATATGGCACAGATATGGTGGTTTTAATGATGGGAGTGTGGGGAACTTCCAACGTGTTATAATTATACGGTAAAGGAAGCATATAATAAAGATTCATTGGCAAACAGGCATTGAAATGGTTAATAATGGAGATAAAAAATAAAATAATTTTAATAAAAATCATGGATAGGAAATCCTGAAAGTGAAAAAATAATTATAATAAGAAATAAAATTTTCAATATATAGGTACTTGTATAAATAAATTAATTGAATTTATTAATATATTTTTTTACAATTATATTATTATTATTATTAATAAAGAAAAAAATGACGATTATTGAGATTTCAATAGTAATGAAATCTATGGTAAAATTGAACTCAAGATGTTTGTCTACCAAACAAAATATTTTAGTTTAGGTTGTATTATTACTATTCGCATCCATTTCAAATGAAAAATGGTTAATTTATCATTTGTCCACTCCTAACATCAAACTAGCCATATTCTTGATGTAAATCTTTTGTTCTTAACTTCTCCCAAAGGTTTTGAATTTAGACTAAAAGAATTAAGAATGATGATGAGTAATCGTAACGATGATGATGTTAACAAAATAAATTCCATCAATAAAAAAATTAATGGTCATAATAATTATGATTATGATTACAATAATTACCTTTTGGAATATCAAGTACATATTGAGATTCCACATATCTTTGAGCGCGTCCATCATCCTCAAACTCAAGTAAATAACAATCCTTTTTTGACGGTGTA